GGTTTCACCAAAAACCGTGTTTAAAGCATGTACAGAAAACTTGGTTCACGGTCGTCGCCATTTTGGGGGCCAGAGATTTCCCCCAAATAAAACGACCTTGTAGTTTAAGGTGGAAAGAGTTATCCGCAAGCGGAAACGTACCTTCCACACAAACTCCAGAACCAAGGGAAAACAAAACATTGATTATTCGATAAGTTTGGGCGCAATATAAAAAGCCCTCGAATATATACCATATTGGAGCGCATGTATATAAAATGCTCCTGTATATCGCTGCACGGACTCACGTTGTCGAGTTTTTCCCAGCAGAGCAACGGGGTCGAACGTTAAAGGTGCGGATGCCACACATGTGGCATTCGGAGAAAGTGGTTCAAGATTCCACACAAGTGTTTGCGGTGAAGATTCCGCTGAGCACCCGTTCACCGGAATCGTCTCTGGAAACTTCTCAGCTGCTTTAAGGCCTAATGCATTTGCCACCTCGTCACCTGCGCCCCGAGATGGACTGTCCGCGATGTTCGACTGCGAGGGTACTCGAGAGTACCAGGCATAGGAGCGCATGCCGTCCTCTATGTCACACAGCGCGCGCAGCATGCGGTCCATGATCGGCGATTTGCTTTGCCCTTTGACCAGAGCTAAACGGGATGCCTCATTGTCTACCCAGTAGACGACACGACGGCCTTCAAGCCTAGCAGGCATGAGCACCTTCACACAGTACATTGCGAACAGCTCGATCTGACAGATCAGGTGATCACCAGATTCGTGGCGCCAGGCGTGCATGAGTGCCTCGGGGACCTGACCTTGCAGGACCTGCTGGAAGCCCGTAGACGGGTCCAAGATCACAGCGCCGATGCCTGCCAGGCCACCCTCAAGGGAGCCGTCAGTGTAAACGTGAACGACGTCCTTGCGGTCGGAGACGCAAACCACCCTTGGCTTTGACACGCCAAGGAACTTCAAAGCTTTGTCGCAGAGCCTGGCGAATTCTGTGGAAGATGGGAAAGCCTCTGCATGAATCATCCTGTTCAAGTCGGCGCAAACATGCTTAAGCGACATGCCTGTGCATGTCGCTTGCGGCGAACCGCAGCAAGCCTACAAGAACCTGACCCATGTGTTTGGTGATGGCCCCGTCTGCTTTCACTTGGCCAAAAAGCTCCACAAGCCTCTCGAGACGGCCGGGCTTGTTAGCCAAGACCAGCGAGCCCTGATGCAGCTCGGCGACAGACACGCTCAGCCCGAGCACCTCAAACACCTTGTCAAAGGGCCTGCCCTTCGAATCGCCTCCCGTCCTAGCGAACTTGATCCCCAACAGGTCAAGAAGCTTCCCGCATGCAAAGTCCGTCGCCTCGGCTGTGTCAGCCCTCGCAAGTAGCGGGTAGTCGTCGTAAAAGTAAGAGCAGACCACATTCAAAGCTCGGGTGAACAAGAAGTGGATTGCCCTGCTTATCCGATTGAAACTGAAGACGCTTGCGGCTGAGGGAGTTGGCCACGTACCAAGTGGGCACCCCTGCCTCATCGAAAATGGCAATGACCGAAAGGCTCCTGTCCCGCTCGCTCACACAAAACTGCTTGTAAGCTTTGGATAGGTCTAGGCACTTCGCTACCCAAGGAATGCTTACGCCTAGGTCCTTTTCCATTTTTGCGATAGCCATTGCCATCGCTGCAAAGTAATTGCTGTCTTGCAACCTTAGCCTAATGGAGGACCCGTAAGCATCATTGAGGTGGGCTTCATGGCCATCATCAATGGGTCTGAGCTTCCCTCCTTGCTGAAGAAGGAAGCGCCTCACAGCAAGCCATTGAGAGGTGCCCAGGTGACGCGTTACCTCCTCTTCCGTGGCCAAAGGGCCTGACAGGAAGCCGGCCCTGCACTCCTCTTCGGTGACCTGCTTAAGGGCCGCCGCCTCGTCCGAGCTGACCCTCCTGGGGTTTGCAACAATCGCCGCTCGGAGGTCTGGAGCAGCTTCTCTCAAACACTCCGGAGTCATCTTAGCTAACCTAACTCTCGCTTCGAAGCATGCAGGCTTGGGAGAAGCACCCACCAGGTGAGAGCCATCGCTAAGCAGGTCGACTACCTCCATGTCGTCGTAGCCATGCTGCTGCAGGAGGTGCCTGAAGAGCAGGATCCGCTTGCCTCGCAAAATCTCCTGCATCCAGTCGGGCTTGGAGCGATGCAGGGCTTGCTCTTCCACCTCAAGCTGCTTAGCTAAAATCTCAATTTTGGTCAAGGCAATTTTCTGGCGGAGCACAAGCAAGCGGGCATCGGTCGTCAAGTTGGTCTTGATGGCCTGGAGGGTGGCATCCTGCACGGGGTTTCCCGAATCCATGGGATGCTGCAATTTCGAGGCCTCGTTCACCCAAGCCTCAGGCGACCTATAAACCCCAACCCTAACTAAACCCGAGTCACCCCCGGAAGAAGGACCCTCGGGTTTTGACTTGTCGGGGCCAGGGGGCACAGTTTGGTCGAGAGGCTCGGCCGCCTCTAGCACTGCACTTTCCTGGAGGCCCCCCGTTTGAATCCCAATCATAGGGGCCGTAAGAACCTTCATGGCAGCAGGGTCCACTTGCGAGCGGGGCACATCAGTGACATACGCAAACTCAGAAAGCAAAGCTGCAGCCTTGCGATGCTGCAGACCTTGAACGGCAAGGGAGGCCTGCTGCATGTCCGGTCTAGGCTCAAAGATAGCACCGTTTCGCTCAGCATGAGCGCGAAAACGGGAGGCAATGGCTTCGGCAAGGCAGACGGGGTAGGCAGCCTCCAAGTGAGTGGCAAAGACCCAGCCGCTCGAAGAGTAGCAAGCAGACCACGGGACATGGGAGTGGCCCTTGTCGCAGCGGGCTGTGAGGTCAGCCATGTCCGGGCAGTTCGTCAGCAGCCGAGTGGATTTGGGCCGCGCGCCACCATACATACAGTGATCAAGGTGACCTGAATGCATCGATCGGCGTGCTTGTGCCAGGAGGCCCTGGCGTCCGCACGGGCAAGGGCTGCGAAGACAGCCCAGAAATGGCTCCCGGCGGGATTCTCGAGAGTGAAGGCTACAGAGCGATCCAGGGCCCAGCACACAAGCTTGAAGCAGAAAGCATACAACTTGTTGGCCTGGCGAACGCGAGTCTCGTCCGAACTGCCCGCGGCCAATGTAGGTAAACCGAAAGGGTGAAGACCTGAGCGTAGCGGCTGCGGCTCACGGACACCACGAGCCTTCAAGGAAGCGGCGAGGGGCTTTTCGCGGGCCCGACTTGCAGTGCCACACGGCGGGGCCAGATGCAGCGCCGAAGGCGGAGTGGCGCAGAGACGATCCAGAAGCAGCTGCTGTTGGGCTGGATCGCACAGGTCCAGGCGTGCAGTGGGCATAAGTGCAGCACGGGGCCGGTGGTCCACTGAAAAGGTTGAGAAGCCTTGGGCAAAGAGAGCCCGCGATAGCACGGCAGTGCCACTGAAAATCTCGACCGCCGAAGCCTGCCCAGGCACGGCAGCAGGCAACACAGGAGCTGAGCTCAGGACTGGCAGCGGGGCCTGCGCAGGGACAGCAGGCGGAGCAGTGAAAACAAAGCCCAGCCCACTTGCAAAAAGTTTGGAATCAGGCAACAGCCGGTCCAGCTGAGTAGTCGTATACGCCACCAAGACAACACGTCGCCCCGACCAAGGCAAAGTCGCATGCAAATTGTGCCGAGCTGCAAAGATTGCTGGGCCGGGTCGGGTGGGGAGAGCATCGCCTAACAGCGACTTGCCGTTTGCAACAAAAGGGATGAGGCCGCCATCCCGTTGCACCCAGACCTCGCCGCCTGAGAAGTCAGAAAGGCCAAACACCGCATTCTGAGATGAAGGGTCGTTGTGACTATCACGGTGAGCCACTGTGCAAACATTGCCAAGAATCACAATGGAAGAAAAATGAAAATGTGCTGGGCCATGAAGCGCAACATGCCGCGTGAAAACTCGAGCGCTTAACGGAAAAGAAAAGGTGTTGTTGCGCAAGCCAACTTGGTTCCCATGCACCCAGGCACCTGAACCAAAGGAAAAACCCCCCGCCAGGGCACGTCCAGCAGCAGGAGCTGGCTCATGCGGCAACAGATCAAAAAGCTTCAGCAAATCTCCAAGACTTGCCGAAGGTTGGGACAACAGAGCCTGGGCAAAAGCTTCAGCCGGGCGCAAATTAAGAGGCGCAGAGGGCTTTGAAGGCTCGGCCAGGACATTGGCTTGGCACCGCGACGAATTAGAAACAACAGAATGCAAATTGCGAGAGGCTGAAGGTTCGGCTAAGGCATGGGCTTGGCGCGGCGACGACTTAGAGACCACAGGGTGCGCCGCCATCCCTGCGACATGTCACTGCGCCGGTGGGGCGCGAGTACACTCGTGACCCGGATGGTCACCTCCGCATCCTTTCCACCAGCACAAGTGGAACCCACGGCCGCACCGGCCCTTCTTCGAAACCTTGAACTTGCAAGTGCCGCAGTTGAAGGCAAAGCACAACGGTTTATCACCAAGCTTGGTCACTGCCCCATCCGGAATGGACACTGACCCGCCTGTGCCTTTGCCTTTCGCCTTCTTACCCTTGGTGCCTTTGCCTTTAGCCTTGGCCTGGGACTGCGGCTGCGCTGGCCTCTTCAAAGGATTCGAAGCTGAGGAGGGCATAGGCAAATGACTCAAGAACTGCAGGACCTCGCTACGCTCGCTGAGGGTCCGAAGTTGCTCATCAAGAGGCTTTTCACGACCTGGGGCAGCAACAAGGGAGCCCAACAAATTTGATGCAGCCAGGGTGAACATGTGGCGGTCGGCAGCCACCACCTGGGTGAGGGCTACCGAGCGGTAGCCAGGGGGAGCCGGTCGCTCCAGTGTCACATACAAGCGGTGCACCCATGCCTCCATGGCCTGGAAGGTTGCCAAACCTGCCAAGTCAAAAGCTAAGCTGCGCCTTGTCCACGCTTGCCGCAGGGTCCACCCGGACCCTGTGTCGCAATGCTCAAACTTATCCAGCTTGGAAGTCACCTTCAAGTTGCCATCGGAATCAATCGAAAGAGTCTTATCTGCTTTAGCCGTCTGGATTTCCTGAGCACGCGACAAATACTTCCCTGGGGAAGATACACAAGGGTACCTGTCTCTAGCATCTCCACGAGGCGGTCCACAACCCCATGGGCAGGCGTGGTCTCCGGAGAGAAATGCACATCTGTGAGCCTGGCCTCCTGAGCCTTTTGCCTGGCCAACCGTTCCGCGATTGGCATCTTTTTAGTCACGAAATCGTTGGCCGGCTCCACACGGTTCTTCATGTCGCTTATTGAAAGGGCTTGGGCCTCAAATAATAAACGACGAAGGCAAGAAACCTGGTGATGCTCTGGCTCTGGCTGCGGTGTGAAAACAGTACGAATCCAATCGCGCACCTCTTCTTCCGTCACGCTGTTGGGAGAGGCTGACACCGCAAAGGCAAGGGACCCAAAGGTGCTATAACCTGCTCCCTCAAGAATGGCATGATTTGCTGAGGTTAAGCCGACTTTGAGCGCGCGCTCTTTGAAGGCTGCCTCAGAGTCCAGGGTAACGCCGGCCATGTTTCCGCAAGTCACGGGCCTCGGCTAAACAAGATGCTCGCCTTAGTGCAACGGAAGTCAGGCACTCTGCGCCAATAAACTAAACCCTGTGCCTTAGTGCAATGGAAGTCAGGCACCCTACGCCAATAAAACAAACTTGCATAAACACAATTTTCTTCTGCAGAGTAGCATAGTAGTCAGGCACCTTACGCCAATCAAAACTTGCCACATGACCAACAAGCTCTTATGCAGAGTAGCTGAGATGAAGAATGCCTGCTCAATGCATCACCTAGTGAGCTTGATCCTCACTCGCGGCTGTCATCATGGCAATCTGGAAGAAATTTGCACATCGGAAGGGCAAGCAACCCGCTTTTCCAGATGCCGCTTTTCCTGTGGGGATCTCTGAAGATCGGGATTTGGCCGTCCTTTATTAGGCCCCATAGTAAACTCTACTAGAGATAAATGCGGGCCCCACTAAAGACGGCCAAACAGCCACATTCCTGCCCAAAACCGCCTCTGAGAGCCCGGGAGGAAAGTTGCCATTTCCAGATGGTCTCATGGTTCTCCGCTGTGGTTGCGAAGTTTAGTCGCGGGCCCGTTTGCACTGAATGCAGCAATCTGGGCCTGCCGCTGCAACGCCCGCCCGACTGAATTTCATGTATGCGGAGCTCAGGCCGTCCGCAGAAGAAGTCCGGGCTGTGTGCATCCTTCAGGCAATGTACAACGCCTGACACACCATGCACATACACAAGACTTAGGTCCACCGGCTGTTGAAAAGGTGCTCTCGCCACAGCGGCTTGGTCCTCATCAGAAAGTGCTTCCTCGCCTCCTTCGGAAGACGAGCCACTCTCTTCCCCGCTAGCCTCGTCGATTGGCCTGATTGCGGGGGGATCCTGGGCTCGGTTTGCCGTTCGGACGAATTCGCAGCCGCTGCCGCTATGACACGATCTACCTCTGGTCTGGGAGGTCTGAGTCGTATCGACCCTCACGTACGTCGACAAACATCGCCAGGATTTTCCCGTAGAGGGCAGTGTAAGCTTGCCTCGAGTAGACAAGAGGCGACTTGTCCTTTGGCTTGATGTGATGGCCGACAAGTCTCTGCTCGCCTGAGGCAAACTTGACAGTGGGACACCTCGATGTCCATGTTGTCAACGTCGCTTTGCAAGAATGCGACCCCCTCTTAACCGCCTCTGCTTCCAATCTTGCAGCCAGGACGTCGCCTCGCCAGCCAGCATTGGCATGCCGGTCCACTTGCCAGCAGTTTCCGACCAACCTGGCAGAGTGAACTCCCCCAGCTGCAAACCCTCGTTCTAGCAAGCTTCCAACCAGCAGGTAGCCCACTGAAGCTTCACGCCTGACCCTATTGCCGCATAAGGCAACAGCCTCGTCTTCGCCTCCTGAGTGATGGAAGTTTTCGAAGTGAGCCCCTTCACAATCACAAAAATCTCACCACCTTTGAGGCTTGAGTCACAATCATTCTGAGGCTGAGGCGCTGGGCATCTGTCCACCCACCTGGCTTCTGAATGAAGACAGAACAGCAGTTGACCCACTATACATGCGTTTCGGTCAACCGCCAGCTCAATCATGGTTTCCAACGCCACGACCATTCTCTCAGTAAGCTTATCTCTCTGTTTCAAAGGTGCCTTTGTCAAGTACAAATCAGCCGCCAGGCCCTTAACCCTGGCGCTTATGCATGCATCCAAGCTTGCATGCCTAAGCACTGCCACCCCGTGCAGGAAACGCAAGGCCTCCAGGAATTGGCTCGCTGACGTGGGTCCTCCCACACCCTCTTGGAAAACTTTCATGTAGTCAAACAAATGCTGCTCTGTGAAGCTAAGCGGGAAGGGAATGCGACCTTCCAAGGCCCATCGAAAGAACTTCAACAAAAGCTGAGGCCCTCTTGCAGAGTGTGCTGGAGCCTTCATCCGAAAGGCAGCCACAAAAGACTGCTTGACCTCATCTTCGTCAGCGGCCCTTCCCACCAAGTTTGCAAGGCTCAGGCCCAGCTGCGTAGCCTCAATATCAAAGAGGATCATGAATTTAAGATTTTTAAGAGCATGGGATCTTGTCTTCTCCTCCGCTCTCTGGACAGGCATTCGGTTCAGGTATTTCCGAACCATAGGATTCACCTTCAAGTCGCATTCGGGCACCGATGGCTTAGGCTCGGAGGATAATGCCACGTCGGCCACCCCAATCAAACGCAACGGTTTCTTTGTCTCCCACGGATAACTGAGGAGGCCAGGAACTTGCCACACTTGCTTAGGCACCAACTCGGCAGCTTGCTTCCTCTCCAGCTCGGCGGCGACCCTCTGAACATCTCTCTCATCGAGAGGGGACTTAAGCACCCTCGGCTCCAAGTCGATAAGTCTCTTTCGCCAGGCGCGAGAAGGCTTAGCTCAAGACTTCTGCAAAAGCTACACAAAAGGCACAACACGAGTGACAGCAGTGCCTGAGCTCGGAGTTCTTGGGCGCCCCCAGCAAGCTCTTCTGAGCTCCAACAATAGTGATGCCTGCTAGCGCTAGGGACCAACATTGGCACGCTCCAAACTGAAGAATTCTGAGCAATGGCCGCAAATGCAGCACGTGCTGTGTGTGGGAGCTGGGTCTACCTTCCCGAGAGAGAGGCGAGCTCTTGCGGGTTTTTGCTGAATTGGTGGATTTGCTGCGAGTGCAAGCTTGCCG